TGTAGGTCCTTAGGGAGTGCAAGATGACCACATAGGAGGCCACCAAGAGGAGGAAGTTTAACAAGCAGATGAACCCACTGTTGGCAGCAACAAAGAGACCAAGAGTATGAGTGTCCATGCACACGAGTTGCAACAGAGGGTACAAGTCACACATGAAATGATCTATGACATTGGGGCCACAGAAGGGCAGCCAGACTGTGAAGAGAATCTGAATGGTTGCATGGAGAAATCCTCCAGTCCAGGCCACTCCCAGCAGAAGCCTGCACAGCCTGTGGCTCATGATGGCTGTATAGTGCAAAGGTTTGCAGATGGCCACGTAGCGATCATACGCCATCACTGTCAGCAGGATGATCTCAGTGGCACCAAAAATGTGTTCTGCATACACTTGAGCCATACATCCATTAAAGGAGATAATTTTCTTCTCATGAAGGGAGTCCATAATCAGTTTAGGAGCTGAAGAAGAAGAATAAATTGTGTCTATCAAGGAAAGCTGAGTCAGGAAGAAGTACATGGGGGAGTTCAGAGCCTGGCTGGTGGTAATGGTAACCACGATGAGCAGGTTGCCTGAAAGTGTTACCATGTATAGGACCAAAAATATCACAAACACTACTTTCTGCATTTTGGGGTTCTGTGTAAGGCCTACTAAAATGAATTCAGTCACATTCCTTTTCTGCTCCATCTATGCAGTGTGGGTGATAAAAACTCCAGAAAGGAATGCTTTACCTTTAAAATAAAAAATAAAAAGGAAGGAAAGATGGAAGAAAAAGAACTTACATATTGATACTGATAGTTAATAAGTCAAGTCTATATAGTCAACCAGATAAGTTTAATGCAGTCTATTTCCATTTGCATGATGAAGAATACACATATCATTCAATTAAACTTCAAGATAATATTTAAAACTAAGTTTTGCCATTATTAATTCTCACTTTCTCCTGGACCTCAGATTCCTTTATTCCCTATATCTTAATATATTTCTAAAACACAAAGACAGTGAAGGGTAAGATGAATTGTCCCTGTTACACGTGGGCAAGGTACATAACGAGGTACATGGAAAGGAAATCTCTTCCAGATGATTCCACAAATGCTTCACTGAGAAGCTAGCCTTACAGTTCAGAGCCCCAGGATAGCGGTCTCCCTTCTGGATACCCCACTGCATCAGAGTCCTTCCAGGCACAAGAACCATAGAGAAGAAAGTTGAGTGCACTTCTAATTGCCAATTTTTCTCTAGAAGAAGTGGCCCCTGGGGAACCAACAACTGACTACTAATATGTTTTTATAAATTCCTGAAGGTCTGTTTCAAAGGTCAGATTTCATGATCAAAATCAAACAGAAAACCAAAATTCGATTCATTACTTCCGTTTCTTGCAAATCTTAAAGTAATTAGAATATATTATTAAAGCTCTTCTCTTTCACAATTTTCACCTGCCTCCTTTTGCCCCATACCATACAGAAACAGCTTGGACTTATGTCAGAATTCGTGTCTTTGATGTCCTATGTTAACTGACGGACGCAAGCACAAATCGGTTCCTCTTCTGTCCTACCCCAAGACCAATAGTGTGGCTATTGCCACTCAAATCTGCTAATACCAGTTCTTTTGAAAGAATGAGAAATGAAGAAAAGCGTTGATCTAGCAAGAAGGCCCTGACCGTTAATAAAAGAGCCCTGCAATTCAAAGGCAAAAATCTAAGAAGACAAACTTCTTCCAAACAGAGAAACTTTTGTCGCTTGTTTATATTCTACATGTTTGAACATTTTGAAATGCAAACATTATAACTTGACTTTTCCCCTTTCTTAATAACATGCAGAGATTTACTGTTACCTTAGTAGTTCCTATGATGGTTGATTTTTGTTGAGTGTTTGCCACATGCCAGGCACTATGCTAAGAACTTTACATGCATTATTTCACTGAATCTTCACAACAGTGCTTTGAGATTGGTACACTATTATCTATACTTTAAAGAAAAGGAAATTGTAATTAGGAAAAGATAAATGACCTGCCCAAAGTCATAATGATAAAAAAAATACATAGAGGAACTTGTATCCAAATCTAAGTTGTTCTTCTTTACTGTCTCCAGATCTTTTACACTCAGTACCTCTCCAGTATGGATCCAGTTTACTCTAGGATTCAGCAATGCCAGAGTTTGGACAAGTAGGTTGGTACCTAACGCCACCACCTGTGACCATGTGAAATCCATAGCAGTGTCAACCTATGAAATGTAGAATCAGGTGTTAATGCGTTTAGGGTCCACTGGACAAGACCCTAGAATTTTGGTACACTAGACATCCACTAGAAGCTTGAATTTAAAGATAAGGAAACTGAGGCCCAGAGAAGTCAAGTCTAAAGAAACACAGCTATTTGAATAGTATCAGAACACAGTAAGAACATAAGTCTTCTAATGCCCAACACAGTAAATCTTTTTCCACCACCACATCTTGCTTCCCTTAAGATGACTTTAGACAAGTGTACACAAGAAAAAAATCACCCTCAGGTGACAAAGAGAATCAATTTTCATCTCTTACCTTTAGCAATACCTGTCTTGACTAAGAAAAAGGGCTAAGTTCAAGGATGCAGAAATTCAGTCACATTGCTGGGATTAAAATCCATTGTAGCAGAAATAAGGTCTTACTTGGTTGGAACAACATACAAAAATGTTTGAATAGAGTCAGAATAAAAAGTGACCTTGAACCTGGAGTTTAATATAGATTCCCAAACACAGTAGAAGGTACATTCTTTCCTTACAGATCCTATATTTTAATGCATTTTTCTTATGGATCTCAGTTTTAGAGTTGAATGTTTCTTTCCAGAAACAGAATCCAAATGTTGTCTTTCTCTTCTATTCCATGCTAACCTATCTCGACCACAGTGACTATCATACATTCTATCTCTGCTTCACCTTAAATTTCCCTTCTTTATTCTGATTTGATTCTCATATCTTCTATCGGCATAAGGGAGGCATTTCCCCTCTTTAATCCCTGTAAATTATCAAAGTCAGAGCAGTTTCAATGAAATGAGTACCTGTACATGATCCAATCTCTGAATTTTCAAAACATCACACCATATTCCTTACCGCTGGAGGTAACCCTCAGTGACCCATCCAGCTCCAATCTGCTATACTGCTGCACTGTCTCCACACTCAAAAGCCTAGAAATTGACTCAGGGATCCATAAATTCCTAATAATATAGATATATTCACACACCGTGAGAACAAATGTTTCTGCAAAATATCCTAAAATATCTCAAAGTGATTCTCCATCAAATATCAGAAAGTAATGCTTTGATGATTTTAATTATAAACCGCTTGGTAGAAAGTGGAAATGTGAGAAACTGGATTAAAAATCAGCAATTCTAGTTAACTTACTGTGGTTGCCTCTGTAGTTAAGGAGAATATCCAATAAATTCAGGAACCAGAAATAAACATTCCCTGTATCTGTTCAAACATCATGTTGTGTAATGGATATTTTTCAAGCCCCTACTGACTGGACAATATTACAGGAAGCAGAGAATGCGACACAAATTTCTTCAAATTATTTCAGCCTGCACTTTCAAAGCTCCAATACCTTGGAGACTGGAGATTCAAGTCAAAGGGGGGAAAATGAGATGTTGAATTTGAAATCCAAAGTCCTCAGGTACAAACGGGATTCTTCAGGACAAGCTATCTAGCTACAGAACAAGAGATACAAAGATTTCCATCGCTTAATAATCCCCCCTTATTCTACACTTAAAAAAGCAGCTTCTTGAGTGTTCAGAGAGGATACTGAGAACATTAAAGAACCTATCTTTCTGTCTGAGGATTGACCCTCTCAGGAATTAATTATCTCTGTGTTTTAAAAATCTCACCTTAGAAACAGATATTTGGGAGAATTCCTTTCTAAACAACACATCTACATCTGCCTGGTTCTTTTCTCTGCATTTAAACATATATTAACAGCCTGAGTTCCTGGTCTGGAAAATCATGCAATAAATCTCTCCTCTTATATGCCCTTGGGTATCATGAAGTGGGACATGCAGGATTCTAAATGCTGTATAAACAACAACATGGAGTTTCATTCAAGTTGCCTCCCTGAGGAAATTTCTTCACTGGCTGAAATCACCAGAGGAGTTTGGGGTACTGCATCAATCTCTCAGCTATACTGTGAACACATCAGGACACGCTCTGTAGGAACCTTGCAATTTCATATATTTTCAGGCAGAGTAATATCTAGACTTGGATAAAACTGAAGGCCAAATGAAGGCTAAAATTCTAGTACCGACTTACATGGTGTAAAAATATAAAAAGATCAATTTTTATGCCTTTTGTTGACTACTTTTGGAAGTCCACTAATTCCACTGGCCATTCAATGACAGTAGTCTTATCCACACAAACAGATATCTTTAAATTTTATTCACACATAATTTATTTGAGACAGTGGAGATTGAAACAGTCAACTGTATTCTGCCATTTTGCAAACACATACTAAAGCAAGTACTCAGCAGCCTAGAGAAGAGGGTGATGTTTAAATCACATGTTATAAGACCTGAAGCGCCAGCTACATTTAAATGTACAGATAGGCATTGGAGGGAGAACCAGGAGAAATAGTAATAATAGCACCTACCATTACTGAGTCCCTACTTTTGTTCCTGCTTTTAGTAATTAGAGTCTTCCATCTCCGTTTTAGTCAATCTAGGCAAAGGTTTATCAATTTGATGATCTTTTCAAATAATCCACTTTTGTTTTTATTGTTTTCATATTCTGCATTCTCTAATTCATTTGTTTCTGCTCTTTGTTATTTCATTCCTTCTCTTTGCTCCAGCTGTATTTTGCTCTTCTTTCTCCAATGTCTTAAGGAGAAAGGTTAGGCTACTGATTGATTTCAGGTCTTTCTTCTTTTACTGAGATAGGTATTTATAGCTCTAACATTCCCACTAAGCACTGATTTAGATGCATCCCATAAATTATACTATGTATGTTTTCATTTTCATCCATCTCAGAGTATTTTCTAACTCCTTTCACAACTTCCTCTTTGGCCCATTGGCTATTCAGGAATATGCTGTTTAATTTCCACATCTCTGTGAATTTCCCAAATTTCCTCCTATCATGATTTTTAATTTCACTACAGCATAGTTAGAGAGCATACTTTGTATGATCACTACTTTTATATTTATTGAGTCTTATTTTATGGCCTAGCATATGGCCTAATCTGGAGAACGTTCCATGGGCACTTGAGAGAATTAATATTCTGCTGTTGCTGAATGGACTGCTTTATAGACATGTGTTAGTTATAATTGATTTATAGCATTGTTTCAGTATTCTGTTTCCCATTAAACTTCTGG